TCAACCTCGAGAGAAATCATCAGGCAAGATTGAGAAACAACTCTGATATAAAAGCTGGGGAATTCAACGAGTATTTTCTGGAAATAGCATCTAAAATTGTAAGCGAATTGTCCGTTGATCAAAATATTCAGGACGAATTGAATGGAAATATATTAATGAACAACAGCACTTTTGTTTTTTTTTGCCAATAGACGGGCGAGAGATATGGAATGCTGTTAATGCGCTGAAAGATTCGGCTTCATATGATATTTATGATATAAGTAGCAATATTTTTAAAAGCATTTCAAATGAAATTATCCAGCCTATGGTTCATCTTTTTAACATTTGTGTTGAAAAGGGCAATTTTCCCAATCTTTTTAAATTATCTAGAGTGGTTCCAATTTTTAAAAAAGGAGACGAGGATTCAGTGTCGGACTATCGTCCCATATCGATTGTTCCCGTTTTTGGCAAAATATTTGAAAAAATTATTAAAGTTAGATTAATGGATTTTTTCGAGAGAAACCATTTGCTCGATTTTTCTCAGTTCGGCTTCCGGGAGGGGCGATCTGCGGTTCAGGCTGTTGGTAGGGTTGTGTCGGACATAGCCGAGGGCTTTGAAAAGGGAGAGCTGGTAAATTTAATGCTATGCGATCTCACTAAGGCGTTCGACTGTGTATCGCATGCGATCTTGATTGACAAGTTGTACAGATATGGTGTTAGAGGTGTTGGACTGCAACTGCTTAAGTCATATCTCGACGGGCGTAGACAGTGCGTGGACTTTGGCAATGCGGTTTCTGAAGTAGGTTTGATGGAGAGTGGTGTGCCACAGGGAAATGTACTGGGACCACTGCTCATTATTTACATTAATGACCTTTTTAATTACCTTCTACCAAATAAGTGTCGAGCGTTTGCGGATGACAGTTCAATGTCTTGTAGAAATGAAAATATGGATCTGCTAGTGACTGAAAGCGAAAGGTTGATGAAACGTGCGGAGACTTGGTTCACGCATAATTGCCTGAATCTGAATCGCGATAAAACGCAAAACATATTTTTTTCCTCCAGATGGTCTAAGGATATAGAAATGAATAGTGCTAAACTATTGGGTATTACACTGGATAGTACACTCAGTTGGGTACCACATATTGAAAATCTTAAACGCAGACTTTCGTCGGTGGTATACTTAAAGCGTTAATCTGCCAGGAGTCTTTGTTGAATTCGTACTATGCCTTGTTTCATTCCCATATGTCCTATGGAGTGGCTTTGTGGGGGAACTCGACAAATTCTATTGAAATATTTCGGTTGCAAAAAAGGGTAATTAGAATATTATGTGGTGTTGACTATCGAGATACATGTAAGCCCCACTTTATTAGACTGAATATACTTACACTGCCTGCTCTGTATATATTAAAGCAACTTTTGGAAGTACATAAAACTAAATCTTATCTGACAGTTAACTCTGACTGTCATAATTATGGAACAAGATCTGCCAATCTAATACGAACCAATTTCTATAGACTGGATAAATCAGCTAGAAACTCTCTACGCATTGATTTATACAACCGTCTTCCAATGGAATTAAAAACTCTATGTTTTAATAAATTTAAATATCAGCTTAAGACATTTTTAGGGAAATCTGGATTTATAGCGTGGATGAGTTTATAGAGCAGGTAGATGGGAACTTAGATTTAATTTGATTTATTTGTACAAAAATTCTTAAATTGTTGTTTGTCTTGTATGTATTTAATGTAACACACTTTGCCTCCGTGTATTGTTTTTTTTCTAACTTTTAGTATTTTTATGAATTCTTATCTGTTTGTTATTTACTCTGACCTGCTACAATTATACATTGTATAAATACGTAGTCAATAAAGATTTATTTATTTATTTATTTATACCGTATGATCGAGAAAAAACGGCGTCAGCGATGGCTATGGAATGAAGATCGCTGTCATTTTATATGTAAATTTATATGGGAAATGTCATTGATGTTCATTTCCCAGCCAACTGGACGCCGTTTTTTTTCGAACATACGGTATATATATATATACATGATACAAAGAATACAAGGTATGATATTGCGCAGTTGGTTACTACGTCACAGGTGATAAACGGCACCATTGGTCGGCAAGCTCCGCGCGCCAATTTCAAATTGTCAAACAGATGACACAATAAACGCGAAAATAATTTTTCAAATGTCGAGCTCGATAATTTGACATAACTTTTGGGGTTATGTCCTGATTCTTCCCTATTATAGGTCTTTTTTTATTAGTGGCAATTGACCAATATGGATATTTTTCTGTATGGCGTATGACGTCACAGGTGGTATGCGCAAACTTAACGAAATTGGAGCCGCTATCGATCATACCTTGTTTTCTTTGTACCATGTGTATATATATATATATATATATATATATATATATATATATATATATATATATATATATATATATATATATATATATATATATATATATGAACATATATTATATACAGCTTTATATATATATATATATATATATATATATATATATATATATATATATATATAGTATATGAAATGAACAAAATTCTTACAGATTAATAAATAATATTTTCTTGCCTTTAGCTGTGTATTTTTTCTAATTTCGAAAAATCGACAGTAGAGAAAAATTAAAAAAAAAAAAAGAATTGTTTTGCTTGCTTGTCGTAAAGGGGAACCAAGCTCCATTCCCACAACCGGTTTCTGGGCCTACCCTTCATCAGGTGGGCTGTCCAGGGGCTGGTTCTCACCGATACGGCAAGCAAAACTTCTTCTATCTACAGACGATGTCGTAAAGTGTCGGTGAGATATTGAGTGCATCTCCCGTCAAAGATGGTAAAGAGCGTTTTCGGCCCGCTCAAATATGAAATGAACAAAATTCTTACAGCTTTAGTGTATATTAATAAATAATATTTTCTTGCCTTTAGCTGTGTATTTTTTGACTAATTTCGAAAAATCGAAAGTAGAGAAAAAAATTAAAAAAATAAAAAGTAAAAAGAAAATTGTTTTGCTTGTCGTAAAGGGGAACCAAGCTCCACTCCCACAACCGGTTTCTGGGCCTACCCTTCATCAGGTGGGCTGTCCAGGGGCTGGTTCTCACCGATACGGCAAGCAAAACTTCTTCTATATCTACAGACGATGTCGTAAAGTGGCGGTGAGATATTAGTGCATCTCCCGTCAAAAGATGGTAAAGAGCGTTTTTCGGCCCGCACAAAAAAATACACAGCTAAAGGCAAGAAAATATTATTTATTAATATACACTAAAGCTGTAAGAATTTTGTTCATTTCATATATTTGAGCGGGCCGAAAAACGCTCTTTACCATCTTTTGACGGGAGATGCACTAATATCTCACCGACACTTTACGACATCGTCTGTAGATATAGAAGAAGTTTTGCTTGCCGTATCGGTGAGAACCAGCCCCTGGACAGCCCACCTGATGAAGGGTAGGCCCAGAAACCGGTTGTGGGAGTGGAGCTTGGTTCCCCCTTTACGACAAGCAAAACAATTTTCTTTACTTTTATTTTTTAATTTTTCTCTACTTTCGATTTTTCGAAATTAGAAAAAATACACAGCTAAGGCAAGAAAATATTATTTATTAATATACACTAAAGCTGTAAGAATTTTGTTCATTTCATATATTTGAGCGGGCCGAAAAACGCTCTTTACCATCTTTTGACGGGAGATAATATCTCACCGACACTTTACGACATCGTCTGTAGATATAGAAGAAGTTTTGCTTGCTGTATCGGTGAGAACCAGCCCCTGGACAGCCCACCTGATGAAGGGTAGGCCCAGAAACCGGTTGTGGGAGTGGAGCTTGGTTCCCCCCTTTACGACAAGCACAACAATTTTCTTTTTTATTTTTATTTTAATTTCGATTCTTTTACTTTAAAATTTCTCGAAATTAGAAAAATATACAGCTAAAGGCAAGAAAATATTATTTATTATATATATATATATATATATATATATATATATATATATATATATATATATATATATATATATATATTACGCATATTATTAGATCGCACACTGAGATTTCAAATTCACAATAAAAAAAGTTAATAATATCTTTAAATTGCTGACCTGGATATAATTTATTTGAATCTTCCAATTGGCTCAATTTTCCTTATTCAATGTTAATTAGCGCTGATCAATATTGTTGCGATGAATATAATCAGATTTAAAAAACCAGAGTCGGAATTGAAATTATTTTAAATAATAATTAAATACTTTTGTTGTTGTTAATGGTACCCAGAACAAAAAAAGTACAGTTTGTACTCAGGAGACCAAGTTCTTTCAAAACCTGAAATAAAAAATGCAGGTCCGTATTCAAAAAAAATAAGTTGGCCTCATATCTCAAAAATTTTCAGCTAATTTGAAAATCTAAAAATACTAACAGATAGCCCTAATAAAGTGGTTATGAAAATGTGCAATTAGTTTTTTTGATTTTCTTAAAAGTAACGACAGGAAGAAATAAAATTAATTTTCAAAAAAATCCGTTTTTCCAAAAAACTCAGCAATCCTTGAAATTTTTAAAACTTTTTTGATGGCATCTTGTTGAACATCCTTTGCGCAACTTTGCCCCAGTTTAACCATGTTCGTATCTATTACGGTTACCGAGATATCAATGCTCGTACCTCGAATTTGTAGCTCCTTGTATACATCGCAAGCTACCCGGATGCACCTCGGTAATGTGCACACTCGCATAATAGAATTTTTCGAAGACCGATTAAGTGCTCTCATCCCTCCTAAAACGCCGACAATCTTCCGTAATTCAGTGTATAGCCTACACACCTCGACAATCAGCTCCGTGTACTTCATTTCCTTATTCTGTTCTATTACCAATATTTCAAGTCAGGAACTATAGATGATTTATTTAAAATTACCCCCCCCCTAGATTATTTTTCTAAAACCGCCCTTGTGCTAGACTATCATCCATATTCACCAGATTTAACTCCCAGCGATTTACTTTTATTCCCCAAAAATAAAGACAGTTTAAAGATAATATAATTTATTTATATTGTCATAACAAATATAAAAACACAAAAATATATTATTTCGCCACCTTTTTCTTCTTAAATCCTACAAACTCCATACAGGCAAGAGGATTATTCTGCTTACCCTAAAAGTTGGTTAACAGTTCAGTAAATGTGTCAAAGTTATTGGATATACTCTATTCTTACCTTAAATTTCTTGTTCTCTGATTTATTGAAGTTACGTTTTCGTTTTGTGCGTTTCGATATGCCAGTAATATTCTTTAACGTTTCTGGAATAATATACTCTGGAACATCGGACAGATGTTGCTGAACTCGTACGGTATGCAGCGCTTTGTCGTGACGTAAAATTTGGAGGTCATTTGGATTATCTTCAAAATAGCTCTGAAAACAGAACAATAGGTCTTAATAGTACAAAATAGAATCCCCCACGGCAATCAAAATTATTTTTTTTAATAAAATATGATGAATATAATCAAAGCTGGGCGAAAATAGAATTCGTTAGGAAAAATTAGAATTCTTTCTTTTCTTTTTGCTTCTCTCAACCGTCAGAAATTAAATTCAATCCCTAAGCGGTTCCCTAAGCGTTGATAGGGATGTTCGGTCCTAAGATTTCAGTATCGGAATCCGGTATCACGAAGTACCGGTCCTACAACCAGTATACCGGTTCCAACAATAGATCGGTGGGACCGATACTGAATCGGTATACCGGTTGGGCCGGAAGACCGGTTGGATCGAAAGACCGGTTAGATTGGATGAACTGGAATATCGGAAAGATAGAAATAACAGTTTTGGTTGTTATGCCGGTGAGCATATACAGGGTGTCCCAGAAATAAGTGCAAGTATTTTAAGGGGTGATAGATCTCGATAAAAGAAACATATTTTTTCTTTATCGTTTTTCAAATAAGTTCAAAATAACGGAGTTATTTTACTTCGAAACTTTTCAAAAAAACATGATTTTTTGCAAAAATTTGAGAACCACTGGACCTTTTCTGGATTTTCTTTCTTGTAAATTTAATCTAATACCTATGTTACCATATTATCAAGAAATTATGTTTTTAACTAAAAACTAAAAAAATTTCGAATTTTCAAAATTTATTTTTCGCAAAAAAAAACTCATAGCCATAGGCTCACTACCAGGTAAAATACTTACACTTATTTCTGGGACACCCTGTACAATACATATACATATAACTAAATATACTCAGCGTAATCTCCAAAAAGTGAAGCCCAAACAGTGAAAGAGAAATATGGAATTCTGCATAAGTCTATTTCACCCGGATATTCATTTAACTGCGCATGCCTTACCTGAAGAAGTTTCCATTGGTCGGTGTTTTTAAAGGGAAATGGTTGACTGACATTTCACCTAACCTTCAATTTTATTTATATTTCTATTATTTATAACACATTATCGTAGGAGTTGGAAAAATATCAAAAAACAGTTGGAAACAATAAACTAAACAAAATCACTCTTTTACGCGCACAAATAAAAAGTAATCCAAATGGAACTAAAACAACAATCAATCGGAGTTTGGTGCAATCGCAGTTCAATCGATATCCGGGTGAAATAGACTTATGCAGCATTAATATGGAGCTGAGTTATGTTGTCTTTTTCTTACGGCACGAAAACAGCACACGGGGTTAAATAGGGAACACTGAGTATATTTTAGTTATATGTATATGGTATAATAGCATAGAAAGTTCTCGAGCCTGTAAGGTTAAGTTAATACGGTAACGTAATAAATACGGTATTTTGAGGGATAACGTTCACATTTCCGGCATATTCTAGATTTCTTGTCCTACTTTACTACTTATAAAAAATGGAAAAAGTACTAGAAACTGCTGTTCTTGGAGATATAAATGGAGCGGAAATAAGATGCTATTTTACATATTTTAAATAATAGAGTTGACGCTATTGAATATCGGCCTGAGTTTAACAGACATTTAAATTTATATAGGTAATATACATGACTGATCCATCAGTAAAATGCTTTACTTGAATTTTAGATGTACTAAAAAAAAAGACTAGATTACTAGACCAAACTAGACTAACAATGCCTTAAACATACATCAAAATAAATTACATTGCATGTTCCTGACTATTATACCGAATGATGGAATAAAAACGGCGTTCAGTTGGCTTGGAAATGAACACCAATTACATTCCCCATACAATTTTACATATAAAACGACAGCAATCTTCATTTCATAGCCATCGCTGACGCAGTTTTTTTTTCGATCATACGGTACCTAAAGTAGGAAAAAACAATCAGCTTTGCCAAAAACCGGTACCAAAATCTTTTTTACAGTTTTTTTTATTTTCATATTATGAATCTATTTTTCTTTACCGATTGAAACCGGTCTTCCGATACCGGTACCAAAATCGGTCTTCCGGTACCGGTACCGAAACCGGTATACCGGTCTTGAAGAAGACGATACCGATACCGGAATATTTAAAAAGTACCGGTATACCGGAAGACCGAACATGCCTAAGCGTTAAACCATTGATTGAAAGAAAAAAACGATAACTTTATGGGGGAATTCTACATGTAACTGGCAACACCGTCGCACAGTGACACCAAAAATTTCAATAATTTCTTATCAGGGTTTAAGGGCGTCCTTATTAAATCCTGAAATGAGAGGTCCATTTATTAGAAATCACACGAATAAAATTATAACTAGAAAACGACGCTTCAAGAATATGAATTTTTCGCCGCTATTATTACAGTTGAGGTTGGAACCTTTGGTATTACAAAAAAAAACAAAATAAAATACTAATTCACCACAATCCACCAAAACACTTTACTTTTGCACTGGACGAGCGTTTGGTTAACCATGTTAGCATCATCAGTAGAACATTAAAAGTCATAGTTTTATGATCATAGAGTTTTAATCATCAGCTGATAGCTGATGACATGGTTAGCATCCTGTCAGCATGTCCTGTGCAAAAGTAAGTATTTTGGTGTATTGTGATGAATTAGTGTTTTATTATGCTGCCGCTATTATGATCAAGATTTTGCTTGGCGCTGCGGTATTGCCAGTAACATATCGAACACTTTTTGTGTCACGAATTCGCCCGTTTGCATCTTGTTTTTCCTCAGCTAATATTTAAACAATTAAACAAGAATCCTGTACCTACTTGCAAAGAAACAAACAAATTTTTTTGTCGTGATCGTAAACCGGAAATCGTGACTCGTCATCAGGAACCAGGAATCGGCAAATCCCCGAAACACTGTCGGAATTCTTCAAAAAATTCGAGTTAGGCTTGATTGTCTCCTTAATTTCAGTTCGAGTTATAGAAATAAAGAATTTTGAATTATAGAGATAAAATATCTAGTCAGATATTAAAAACCTAATTACGCGCAAAAGATATTCTTCTTAGAGAAAATCAAAGATTTTCCTTGATATAAGTAAGAACAATCTTTGGATTGCCACGGTTTTTTTTAACAGGACTCAATGAACCTCAGTAGATGAAGCTAAGAAACAACGGCGAATGCAGATTCTGTGGGGAAATGGAAAAACATCAGAATACCTCGACACTGAGTGAGCCGAGACGACAGCTATTCGTGCCATAAACTTTGGTAAAACCAAAGATATTTAAACTCGGGAGATACAATGGTCCATTCATAAAACGCTCTAAAGCTTCATCACACATTGGTTTGCGAAAATCAACGAGTGGGACAGAGAATGGATAGAGAAGGAAATAGGGGTATCTGCTCGATGGCAACAATGTAGGTGTGTACAAAGATTAGACGTTTGAGGTCAATTTCCAGTGGCGTGCCGATCGACCGACAGTATTTTAAGGAAATTAAAATAATTATTTAATAAACTTAAAAAAATAATAATAACATTTACATATTTGTCGTATTGTAAAAAAATAAGTTAAGGGAGGATAGCGAAATGAATAAAAACCACCATAATTTTTTGTTATAAGATGGCTTTTCACATAAGAATAACGATTAAAAAAATCAATACGTAAGCGTTTTTTAATTTATTTTATTAAATAAAATATCAAATTTTGGGTGTATTAGTAAATGCAGTTTCAATATCTTGTTCCAAACCTTGTTCATCTCCGGCGAATGAGACTCCCTCTATTAGCAATAACAAAATAAAATAGTTATTTTAACCTAGTAACACAATATTTTACCAAAAACTAATATTTGTAGAGTTCACATATTTTTGATAAAAACTTTATTATTATATGTATATTTATTATAAATAAAAGATGTTATCGTGGGGACTATAATAAAAAAGAAGAATGAAATTATTGGGCAACCTACAGTAAGATTAGCCATTAAACATGGCTAAAAGTGTCTTTCTCTGCGCTATAGAATAATGGCCGATGAAGGAAAAAGGTAAACAATTGTATCTTTCGAGTTTAAATATCTTTGGGTAAAACTGATATTGCAGATGATGTACCGTCCCCTAAAACCGTCTCAGTTACTGGCTTTTGTCACAGTCCTGTGACTGTATGATGAGTTATAACTCAAGAAAAGGGAGCACAAAAGATCTGTAAAGCCTAACCAATTGTATACGGTATTCAAAATTTAGTCATGTGTATTTGTTCCATTTACAAAAATACTGCCCTCGCCTATTCACATTTTTTGAGACACCCTGTACAAATTAACATATTCTCCTGAAATACGTCATAGGAAGTCGAAGTTGGTACTTAAAAGTCGAAGTCGGTACTTAAACAAAATCACTGAAGTCTGGTTTATAGAAGCTATTTAAGGTTTTCCTTAATGACATGCTAATATTTAAAGAAGTGATTCTTGGACCTATTCTAAGAAAAAAACTTTATATGAATATATGTCCTAGGCATCTTAAATTTTCAGATTCAGTGTGGTAAAATTTTCAATTTTTTTTTCAAAATATCTCTGATGGTATATTTGATACACATCTTCCATGCATCAAAATGCTTATTTTGCTGTACAAAAAAAATTGTTTTATTTTTTAATTTCCTTCTTAAAAAAATGAATGGATATTTTGAAAATAATTTTTATTTTTTAGAGAAGTCAGTTAAGTAGTGTACCATTTTTTTCTCCAAAAATATTCAATGTAAAACACGTCTGGACGGCACTCGTTGAACTAAATAAAATTCTTTGTACACCAAAAAAGGTATTTTGATGCATAAAAGACGTGTATCAAGTTTCATAAAGATATCTGTAATGAAATCAGAGTTATTATAAAATGTATTTTTTTTTAATTTACCACCCCGCCTATTTCTCAGAAATCTCAGAAATTAAGATGTTTAGGACATACATTCATATGAAGTTTTTCTCTTAGAATCATCTCCTTAAATATTAGCATGTCATTAAGGAACAACCTGTATAGTCCGCCGCACTGTCCATTAATGTTTATAAACCATTTGCAACATGATATTTTAAGTAATCAAAATCGCTAAAACTTCAAAAAATAGGAAAATAAGGATAGTTCGATTCCTATCTTCCTATAATGTCAGTTTTTTCACGTCATCTAGGGACCGAGGTGAAGTTCGCGCTAAAGATTTTAGACAGTGACAGTTATTTTAGCGTTTGACGGACGAGCGCACAGTGCGGCGGAAGAGCGGGACATAACCGTTAGGTTAGAAATTATCCAAAAAATGTATACTGATAAGAATAAATATACTCTGTTTTTTTTTCTCAGGTAAGATTTCGACAGACGATGACAGAAAAAAAGCAGATGACTTCCATACCAATCCATTTATTTCATTAAAAAAAGTTTCTAATATTTTTTATGTTTACTATGGATGGGTTTATAAATAAATACGTCATGCATCGTCTCTTGTTGTTTTTAACCAGTTTTATTGGTTTATTTCAAAAACGACAGATCATATTTCAATATTATTGGTTTGACGCAACGATGAAGGACAAACGGACGCCTGTACGTATTTAACCTGTACGCCTGAACTCGACTTAAGAATTTTGAGAGTTGTCAAACTCTTGCCAAATTATAGGTTATAATTTTGTGTCAAATTATGTCAAATAGAAATGATAAATATTTTGCATTTTGCATTTTGGACTGTGTTGTTACTTGTGTTTCGTGTTTTTTAAAATTAAGTGGAGGAAAACTCGAGAGAATATTAAGTGTTTACCCAGACCAGTTTACAGTTAATATTCGGTGCACAAAGACCGCCAGAAACACTTAGCCAGAGAGTTGTATTAGCATTAGCCACACATAAAGTTGTATACCATCTCGTATATGGCACCAAAAACTGGAGTATCTGTAAAATAATATCACACGATAGGTAAATAATACATTTTAGTACTGCAGAAAAAAATTAAGATTAAAGTTAACTAACCAAGATTAGATTTTTTCAGTTTTATACAGTTTTCTTCACAATATTTGCAATCACTTGTCACTCAAAATTTAAATATATTAATTATGCGTTCCAATTGTACCAACTTATTTCTTTGTAAAATAAAATAAACTACTTTGAAATTAAAATGACAGACACATCTATCACTTTCAAGGATTTTGTCGTTGGACAGACTATAGATGGCATTCCAATTGATATAAAAATGCATGAATTATTTTTTGGTCGTATATACATATATTATTTGTAAGTATTTCACCTGATATCATAATTTTATTTATTTGGCAATAGTTTACAGTAACGTTTTTATGTGTCATGTACGAATAATATAATAGTTTTATTATCTTGTATTTATTTATTTATTAATAAATTAAGTTATTAATAAATAAATAGCTCCCAGACACCCTCAGGGGTAAAATGGGTGTTTTCGATTATATATATAAATAAATAAATTTAAACATATGGTTGCTATATATTAGACCATTTACTACTTTCTTAGATTTTAAGTCCCAAACATCGCTTCTGAGATTTTGTCCCGCTAGAATTACCATCCGCCGCACTGTGAAGAGGAGGTCCCTGCGTGACGTAAGCATCCACGGCGACTACGACGGCGACGATTTGACTCGATCGAACAGTCCTTTAGAATATATGTTGGAGGCAGATGCCGAAAATTAGACATATGGCGATTATAATTTAAATATACCTACCTATATCCACAAAGTTACGCGGAAGAGTTTTGATTGCATTGGTTTCAACTTCTATGCGGAGGTTGTTAATCTTTTGTTGTTATATTATACCAAAAAAAGATTAACCCCCTGGCAAGTTTAGTATGGACAAATCGCCATATGTCTAATTATTTCCGACATTGGCCGAAATTCGGCATCTGCCTCCAACATTTACAGTACTTGGGAAATACCTACTTCTTGACATTTTAATTTAAGCACATAAGGAACATATTCGTTTTTTTAGCTGTGCATAATTTATTTCCGTATAAAAATTATTACTTGGAAAGAAGTGTTATACATTATAAGCGGCACAATATACTGTTATTTTAACTAAATTACATTAAACTTCATATTTTTTCAAATTAATAAATTGGTAATACAATATGAGCGAAGAAAAGCTGCTTCTGTGATGGCTATGAAATGAAGACCGTTATCATTTTATATGTAAAATTATATGGGGAATGTCATCGATCGTCATTTCTAAGCCAACTGGACGCCTTTTTTTTTCAACCACATGTATTACATCAACATATCTATTCAAAAGCAAATGAAATTAATACCTTTAATTTCTGGCAATTAAATATTTCTTGTTTTATTTCTTTCAACCTTGCTTCACGAACAGCTATCTTTGTTACAGCCCTCCAAGCATCTTTAGCTCGGTATTTAAAAGCTTCAACCTCCTCCAGTCTGAACTGATATGACCTGCAAAAACATTTACGTACGTTTTTTCATTTTTGTCTTCAGTTTATTATATATAAAATGGTTATAATATAAAACCTTACTAATTCTCTTACTTAAAAATAGAAGTTCCCTCACAATGTTTCAGCTTATCTTCTACTTCATCTAATAACGGCGTTTCCTTGATGCTAACAAATGAAAGTACACTTCCCTAGAATATCATAAACGTGCTCGGTTTTATTAAATTAATATTAGCAACTAAAAATATTTTACAATATAAAATTTCATTTCTGAGTAAATATATTAAGCAATAAGAAAAACTATGTTGGATTGGCGTTACAAATGACAATCGATAATAAGTTCTCAGACAATTAAATAAAAGAACAAAGGAAAGAGTCTAAATATTACTTTTATACTCATGAATTGCAGAGGGCAACGATATACAGGGTGTCCCAGGCTGAGCGCGCATTAGAAGTTTCCAGAGAATCACAATATCTAGATCGGAGATTTTTTACACATCATTGTTTTACAACGAGATCTATCGATTAAAAATATTTTCAATATGGCGGCACTTCCGGAAATACCGGAAGTTAACAGCAACTTTCTTATTTTAAATAGGTGCCCCCATTTTTTATTACATACTTAAATTCTCTAAAAAATGCTATGAATATTGATGTTAACCGTTTTTGAGAAAAAAAAATATTTCAAATTTTTCGACAAAAAAACTACCTGTCAAAAAAAATTGTATAGCCTAAAAGTGAAATTTAGTGATTACCACAGCCACTGTGACATAAATAGAAGACATGTGGCTATCTATTTCAAAAATTAAATTGTTCAAATGTCATATAATAATGGCGGTAGCTGTCATGGGATTGACCGATTAAGAAATTATCATAAATCATTTTTTCCAAATGGAAACTCACTTTTTTATTTCACCAATAAAAAGGTTTTTTAATTCGTTACTTTTTAACTATACATGTTCCTATACCTAAAATAAATCGTTTTTAAGTTATTTAAGATTTAATTTGAAAACGAATATTTTCTTGATTTTATCAAGCTTCCTTTGACATTAGGTGTCAAACGGTAAGACAATTTACTTCCATCTGTCAGAAAACGAATTATTTGAATTTCCTATATTATAAATACTGTCTGCTTAAGAGCTTAAAGTGTATTTATAAAAATATATCTCGTATTTTCGCTCATTAGTGATATCTAATAGTTGATATTATTAATAATATTCCGTATGGTCGAAAAAAAAACAGCGCTAAATTGGCTCGGAAATGATGCTGCTTTTTGAACAAACCGTCACAATATGACATGGCCAAATCTATTGTTTTACATCACTTGACGTTTAAAGTCATAGGCTACTGGTTAAAATCAAGAAAAATATACGCTTTAAAACTAAATATTAAATAACTAATAATAGGAACATGTACAGGGTGGTTGAAATTAGTCTGTTTTAACAGAGAAAACATATTTCCTGACTAGATAGAGCAAAACCGACATAGACGTCATGGGTTCGATTTCTGAGATACGTTTAATGGCGTAAACCGCTTGTTGATATTTTCACTGCCAACAGAGATACGGGGTCTTTTTGAATTTTTTACCATTTTGAAAATTGCCCATAACTTTTTTATTTCGCGGAATAATAAAATTCTGTCAAAACGTTCTAAAGGCCATTTTTTAAGTACAATCCAGTGGCGTACTCAGTTTTTTTCTATGGTTGTTCTTTTTGTCAGAAATAATAAAAAATATATTTTTTTAAATGAAAATCGTAGTTGGCTATGAACTTTCATGCTTTTCTGAAAAATTCTGGCGTTTAACCCTTTCCAACGATATAAAGTTATGGGTATTTATTTCTAAGCATAAGGAAAATATGAGGGTTTTTATCTTTATATCAAAGCAGGCTTTGATTTTGAGTTGACCTATTTGCTTAATTATTTTTTATCACAATTTAATATTCTATATTATTATTTATCTGCATAATTAAAGACTTTTGAAAAGGTAAATTAATATTCTATTATTAGTAGTAATAGTAATTATTAGTATTAGTAACTGCAACTGAAATCGATACAATAAACAAAGAACAAAACTAAAAAAACGTATTTTTTGAGTGACGAATATAGTTTTCTAATGAAAGATGTTCAAATTGAGCACCTCCTTGTTGAATACACAATAAACATCTTTTGCGCACAGAGTTACAACGATTTATTAGGCGAACTGGTTAAATAAGCTCAAAAACTTGCCTAGTAGCCTTCTGCAATTCTTCTCTTGTCCAAATGGTTTTTCCCTTATATATAAGGTCTTTTAATTTCCCTCATAAAAAAGTCGAAAGGAGTAAAATCACAGGACCTAGGAGGCCAAGATATCGGCCCCTTGTTCCAACCCAATTATCTCTAAATTCTCCATTTAATAGTTCAGTGGTAACCCTAGCGTTTTAATTTTAATTGATAATACTAATATAGAATGTTGATTTATCGTTTCAAAAGTTTTTAATTATGCAGATAAATAATAATATAGAATATTAAATTGTGATAAAACATAATTAGGCAACTAGGTCAACACAAAATCAAGGCCCGCTTCGATACAAAGATAAAATGTCTAATATTTCTCTCATTCTTAGAAATAAATACACATAACTTTATATCGTTGGAAAGGGTTAAACGCCAGCATTTTTCTAAGTTCACAGCCAACTATGATTTCCATTTAAAAAATTTTATTTTTTATTATTTCTGACAAAAAGAGCATGTATAGAAAAAACTGACTACGCCACTGGATTGTGCTTAAAAAAATGCCTTAAGAACGTTTTTACAGAATTTTATTATTCCGCAAAATACAAAAGTTATGGGCAATTTTCCAAATGGCAAAAAAATCAAAAAGACCCCGTATCTCAGTTGGCAGTGAAAACATCGACAGGCGGTTTACGACATTAAATGTGTCTCAGAAATCAAGCCCATGACATCTATGTCGGTTTTGCTCTATCTAGTCAGGAAATAGGTTTTCTCTGTTAAAACAGACCAATTTCGACCACCCTGTACAATCAAAAAAGTAACGAATTGAAAAGCCTTTTCACTAGTGAAATAAAAAAATGTGTTTCCATTTGAAAAAAATGATTTATGATAATTTTTTAAGAGCTCAATTCTATGACAGCTGCGGCCATTATTATATGACACTCAAACATTTTCATTTTTTAAATAGATAGCCACATGTTTTCTCTTTATGGCACAGTGGCTGTGGTAATCACTTAATTTGACGTTTAGGCTATACACATATTTTTGACAGGCAGTTTTTTTCGTTCAAAAATTTTAAATACTTTTTTTCTCAAAAACGGTCAATGTTAGATATACATGTTCCTATACCTAAATTAAATTGTATCAAACTTCATAAAATTTTATAGAAAATTTAAATATGTAATAAAAAATAGGGGCACCCATTTAAAATAAGAAAGTTGCTGTTAACTTCCGGTATTTCCGGAAGTGCCGCCATATTGAAAATATTTTTAATCGATAGATCTCGTTGTGAAACTATGATGTGGCAAAAATCTCCGTGCTAGATGTTGTAGTTCTCTTGAAACTTCTAATGCACGCTCAGCCTAGGACACCCTGTATACTATCGATACCAAATAAATTTTTCGTTGCGTCATCGAGGGCGCGAATATTCAATTCATTATTGCGAACCATGAACATATTCGGCATCGGGCTGACTAACTGGAATTTAAATTTCCATCTGGCGATTCAGGTGGTAGCTGTGCTGTAAAAAATGCCAAGTTGCCACGTTTATTTACTGACATTTTCATTAGTTTTGACAGTTTAGTTTTGTATTACGAGTTTTTGGTTTAAGTGAATTGTGTTGTGATATTTTAAGCTTAATTTTTTTTACTAGCAGATCTTGTAGTCGAAAACTGTTCTTTTTAGAACAGCTTGTTGAGCGAAGAGTTTAAGATCCGAAGCAGCTTAACAGCCATTGAAAAAAACTCATCACATCCTTATTTAAATATTCCGAACGGAAACGCGACAATATAGCCTTTTATATCCCTTAGGTGCTGGTAGGGAGGTGAGCTTCGTTGATGTAAATAATAAATGTTTGCATGTTCATAATTAATTCATTTTTGTTTCCTATAATATTTTAATTAAAGGAAAATATGTAAAATCGGCAACGCTGTGTCGGTCAAGCTTAACGTGACTAAAAGTTTATTTGGTATAATCTTATAACAATTTTAATATCATTTATTGAGCCTACTCTATTTTATATTTGAAAAAGTTTTATATAAAATCTGAAGGCCAATGATAAACCGAAGTTTAAGTCAGCCATATTAATTTACCATCGCGGTAGCCTTTAATTTTGTTGATATGCTCTATTCTTGATATTTTATTCAACAATTAAAGTAGAATGAAACTGATTAAAATAAGAACTTGTAAAAATGTACCTTGTTTTCTAACCTATATTCCTATCCAAAATCAAACACCTTAGACTCTTGCATACCTGATTATTTCCTCTTGCTGTCCTTCCTGCTCTGTGAATGTACGAATGGGCATCTAATGGAAAATCAAAGTTTATAACATTGGCTACAAACTGAAAGTCAATTCCTCTCGAAACGCCACTGTTTTTATCTTTTTGCCTTTTGGATTTAATTTGACGATTCTGATTGGCATTTCCTGGTTCTTCTAAAGCTTTTTCATCTGATGCTACTATAATATCATAGATTCCATGATTGAATTGATTCACCGAATGACATCTGATTGTTGCTGGTAGCTCTGAATTTAGTACACATGCTCGAATTCCAAATTGTTCTAGATACAACTTTATTCTAAAAAATAGATTGATACATCAGAGGATTAAAGCTTGATTCTCATGCATCCGTTATCCGACGATACAATAAAGAACAACGGCCTACGGGCGAGTCGGCTATACGTATACGTAGACGTAAAGAATCTTTTACGTGTATAAAAAATATAAGAAATGCGCATGCGTACGTAAACGCTTACGTGTTTGTAGTCTGTGCCGTTGTTCTCTAATATTAATTTTATTGGTCGAATTTAAATACTTCGACTGGTTAGAAAATTACGCAGTTTTTAAATTTATTGCATTTTCATGCCTCCGTTCATCGGATGTACGATTTGCTTGTGATTGATATCATTTTCTATTTTCATTTCCATAACTATATATTTCGCTGTTTTACTTATAGTCTAAGAGCTAGCAAGGTTTTCGAGAGAGAATTGTAAGAAAGCTGGTTCTTTAATATATCCTTTGCTATGCTCTCCTGAATAGAGTGCGGACCGTCTGACTGCCGGTAGACATTGCGTTCACTACTGCGCATCATATCTGTGTTCAACATCTATTCACTACTGCGCATCACAAATTCGCCCTGTATTTCAGGAACTAAGACAAACATATGTGTAGCATATTTAGTTTCATAAAAAATTAGCAAAGTAATGTGAAAATCGCATCATTGTATCTCTACTCATAAACGAGAAATCCCATAAAACACACGAAAACGGGATACCCTGTACAGATGAGATGCGCAGTAGTGAACTGCAGTAGTCTACCGGCAGCCAGACCAGACGGTCGGCACTTTGGCCAGGAGAGCATAGCAAAAGATATTGTTACGGATTCCGTGGGTCCACTATTTAAACTCACGATAAAATACTTAACGAATTTATTTGTTTCACTCTGTACACACAACTTATACTATTTACAACACTACTTATGCAACTACTATTACTCTAACGGTATTTCGCGGTATTATCAAACTTCAGACTATCTTCAGACTTCAGACTATCTTCAGACTTGTCCAACTGTCAAAGCGCGGGCCTTATATACCCCCTGGCGATTGTTTCTTGATTTTTCTAAAGAATTCTATAATTTTCTTTTACTTTCTGGCGAATGCGCCAGGTTCCTCAATGCACGTTGCGATTATTTAGCAGTATGCAGTTATGCAACCAGTAATACACCTTGACATTGCCCCCTTCTCAAATTTGATCGTCCCGATCAAGGTTTCCTGTCTGGTATCTCTTCAATCGATCCAGATGAACTACTTTCATCTTACTTCTAGGGCTGCGTTGAATCCGGTACACAACATCATTTATCCTCTTGATGACTGTATAAGGACCTTCCCATGCTGGAGTTAACTTTGGGGACCTCCCTTTCTTGCGCTGTGGGTTATATAACCATACCATATCGTCCTGTTGAAATCCCGTAGAATTAGCTCTGAGGTCGTAACGAGCTTTCATCCGGTCACTGGCTAGCGTAATCTTACTTCTCACGGCCTTATGAATTCCCAATAACCTTTCCTTCAGTTCATCCGCGTAGTCCTCTACGTTCGTGGTGCTGTCGTCTGGTGATCCGAACACCAAGTCACAAGGCAACCGTAATTCTCGACCAAATAAAATCTTCGATGGTGAAAGTCCGGTGGTGTTGTGAACTGCACTTCTATATGCCATTAGGAATAGTGGTATATGCTGATCCCAATCTCTTTGATGTTCATCCACCATTTTCGAGAGATGTTCTTCAATGGTCTTATTGAATCTCTCGACCATCCCATCAGACTGCGGATGTAAAGCTGTTGTCCTAGTCTTGTGAATACCAAGCAGATCACACATCTTCTGGAACAGTCTTGACTCGAAGTTCCTTCCTTGGTCAGTGTGAAGCTCTAAAGGAATTCCAAATCTACTGAAGACATTATTGACTAATACTTCAGCTACAGTCGATGCTTCTTGGTTTGGAATGGCAAAAACTTCTGGCCATTTACTGAAATAATCCATCGCCACTAAAACGTACTTGTTGCCCTTGTGCGTTTCAGGGAATGGGCCTGCAATGTCAACAGCGATTCTTTCGAATGGCAGTCCAACGTTATATTGTTTCATTTTTCCCCTAGATCGAGTGCTTGGTCCTTGGCTGGCTGCACAAATTTTACATTGTCGACACCATTTCTTGACATCTTCGCAATAATCCACCCAGTAAAAGCGATCTCTCAGCTTGCTCAAGGTCTTGTTTACCCCAAGATGGGCTCCAGTTTTACCACCGTGAATTTCTTCCAATACCTGGGTAACTTTCTTCCTTGGTACCAGTAACTGAGTTGTTACTGTGCTGCCATCCGCACATTCCCATGTGCGCTTTAACAATCAATTCTCAATAACCAGTGAATTCCACTGAGCCCAGAGAGCTTTGAAAACGAGCCCTCTGTCCGCAATATCCTGCCACGGTGGTCTCTCGCCGTTACCTTCCTTGAGCCGTAGTATTGCCCCGATGTCTGAATCTTCCATTTGGTCTTTCCTCAATTGTGTCGTCGTCCACTTTTCATCGGTTCCAAAATTAAAATTCCTTATTCTGATAGTGCTTTCGCGATGTTTCATTTTCTTGTCCAAGGTAGCTCGTCGTCGATCTAGGTCGTTGTCGATAATTTGTACCCGTCCTACACGGCACCCAGCGGTTTTCTCTAGTTTCCCGAACACAGTCTTCTTGGTATCACCAGGTATCATCACAATTTTCGATGATCTTTCTTCCATATTTCCTGGTCTCTTCTCTTTAGATACAGAAAATTCCTCATTTCCGATTTTCAGGATGTTTCTATGGTGATCAAACGAAAACCCATGTTGACTGATCACATCCATACCCATGATAAAATCATCTTCAATGTCTGCCACTAAAACGCTATGCCGAAACTTCAAATTCCCTAACTCCAATTCCATCAAAGCCTCTCCCCGTACAACGGCCATTTCCCCCGTAACTGTACGTAAATACACTCTTCTTCTAAGAGGCATCATCTTCAATCCTTGCACTGAGTTAGTCCGCACCAACGATACCATAGCGCCTGTGTCCAGAGTCATTCGAATTCTTCTACCATTGACCTTCCCGTTGATCACCAAACTGTCAGCGGTTTTTCCTAGACTCCTAACGGAAAACATCCTAGGGCCTCTGTTTTCTTCAGCCAATACTCGCTCATTAGTGTTGATTTACTGGTGCCTATGTTCTCTCGATGGTAAACGGAATCGCATTTGGACGCGGCAATCCCGTTTGATGTGGCCATTCCTGCTACATCTATAGCAACTTATGTCCTGGGATCTTCCGATGTGCCGATGTTCTCTGGATGGTGAATGGAATCGCGTTTGGATGCGACAATCCCGTTTGATGTGGCCATTCCTGCCGCATCCATAGCACCTCATATCCTGGAATCTTCTTTGGTTCTCTGTCTGGGTGTTGTTGACTCCCTTGTTCACTAGTAACTCACATAGTTTACTAAACATCTCCTCCAAACGTATGTGAGAACTTCCGGGCTGTTCCTCGACCGTTACCGATCTTATCTTTGGTCTAGGGATGGCGCTAAAGGCAGCTTCAATTTCCAGCGCCCTGACCAGTGCTTCGCTGCTGGTAGAAAATCGGGATATTTGCAGCGCCCTCTGTAATTCGTTGTCCTTCAGTCCGCTGATAAAACACTGGGTAGCGAGTTCCTCCCTAAATCCTTCCGGTGCTTCTGGATATGCTAGGTGTACCAGCCGACATAAGTCTGCTTCGAATTCCTGCAGACTCTCTCCGGACCTCTGTAGGCGTGTCTTGATCTGGGCCTGGTAAAGTTGGCGTCGATGTTGGTCGCCATATCGTCTGTCCAGTGCAGCGACCAAAGTTTGGTATTCCTGCTGTTGGGCTGCAGGAATAGTTTGCAACAGTTCCAGGGCAGGGCCACGCAGCGCGATGACAAGTGCCGCTGCTTTCTCCTGGTCAGTCCATCCGTTGGCAGCGGCGGCTGCATCAAACTGACGGTGGTACATTGTCCATGTCGTTTGTCCATCGTAGGTCGGGGCCTTAAGGTTCGCTGTTCCTTGAACGCCAGGTGTCTTTACTTGTACCTTGGTCTTCTGTAGATACATCTCCAATCTTTCTATCTTCTGCTGAAGGCGTTCCTCAAGATCTTCTACGGTTTCTTGAAGTTGATTTTCCTGCCGTTTTTCCAGGTCTTCAAAATTCTTCTGTAGTCGAAATTCCTGATTTTCCAAAGTTTTCTTAAGACGGTCCTGATCTTCAAATTTTTCTTTTTGGCGACGCACTTACAAATCTTCAACAATTTTTCCAACCGTTCTTGTCTAATTCCTTGATTTTCTAAAATTTTCTGAATACGGTCCTGTTCTTCTTGTCTTTCTTTTTGACGTCGCTCCTCCAAACGAATTTCCAAATTACCCAGTATTTTCTCAAGCCGGTCCTGTTCTTCTTGTTTCTCTTGTTGTCGTTGAACTTTCAAATCTTCGAAAATGTTCTCAAGCCGGTCCTGTTCTTGTTGACGTCGTAGTTTTTCCTCTTCCTTTTCTCTTTCTAATCGGGCTCGCTCTTCTTCTCGTTCTTTACGGAGTCTTTCTTGTTCTTCTGCTTTCTCCCTTCTCATATTCTCCATAAAATCGCCTAATAGTTTGCTTACTTCCTCCATTTTCTTCGCTTGTTCCCTTGTACCAATCATAAAAATACTCTAATCCGGTCTAAAAATCTTCCAATCCACTTAATTTCTTCTTAAAATCCTCTTGAATCGCACTTCCGACACCAATTGTTACGGATTCCGTGGGTCCACTATTTAAACTCACGATAAAATACTTAACGAATTTATTTGTTTCACTCTGTACACACAACTTATACTATTTACAACACAACTTATGCAACTACTATTACTCTAACGGTATTTCGCGGTATTATCAAACTTCAGACTATCTTCAGACTTCAGACTATCTTCAGACTTCAGACTATCTTCAGACTTGTCCAACTGTCAAAGCGCGGGCCTTATATACCCCCTGGCGATTGTTTCTAGATTTTTCTAAAGAATTCTATAATTTTCTTTTACTTTCTGGCGAATGCGCCAGGTTCCTCAATGCACGTTGCGATTATTTAGCAGTATGCAGTTATGCAACCAGTAATACACCTTGACAATATATTAAAGAACCAGCTTTCTTAAAATTCTCGTTTTCATGACGTTGCTAGCTCTTGTACCATTATATTTTTATTAAGGTTAGATTAAACTTGGCAAAAAAGTGTCAAAACGTTCGTTATCGCTATGCGTTATCGTACGACCTTTCTTCCTTGACGGGCTGGAGTAAAAAATTTACAAATAAAAAGTGACGCGAAAACGTTATGACCAATCAGGGCACCGTCGGACCATCATATCAACGGATAATGGACGCATGAAAATCAAACTTAACTCTGCTCTATAAACAAGATGACTCACTTTACCAAAAAAAATTCTATGTGAGCTTAATGCTCGAGATTTTACTTCAGTTTATTTTCAAAATATCGGTAGCGTCGATTTTAAAATACAACACATACCTAGTTGTGCCTGACCCTGCATACATACAATACAATGTACCGTATGATCGAAAAAAACGGCGTCCAGTTGGATTGCAAATGACGATTGATGACATTCCTCATATAATTTTACATATAAAATGACAGCGATCTTCATTTCATAGCCATCGCTGACGCCGTATTTTTTCGATTAGGAGGATTAGGATTATTTTCGATGATATTTGTATAATTAGTATTAAAAAGAATAAAACTGAAATGCTTCCAATAACAAATCAAAAGTAAGTAGTGATCTAAAAATATTCAGAGAGCTTTAAAAAATCGTCATATTTCAAAAACCACTTGATATACACAGTGACATCTAATATATCTATAATATGTATAATATACAGGGTGGTCCGAACTATATTCCGGAAACTTCGGCAGCATATTCTACAGATAAAATATATAAAAAAGTTCGTATAAATGTATGTCCTAAAATGCTTAGTTTCGGATATACAGGGTGTAGAAGTTTCAATTTTATTTCGATTTTTTCCAAATAATTTCTGAAGTAACATCAATATTTGGATGAAAATTGGTATCTGGGAGTTTTTTGACATGAGAAATTTGATTTTGATGTCAATATGACTCCTACTTGTAGAAGGCGCCACCTACATCTTTTTAACTGGTTTGAAGACTAATAACTTTTCTTATAGAATCTTCTTTGATTAAAAAAATATACATTTACGACGTTTTTTACGTAAAAAAGGTATCTTGATAAAAGTTCTATAATCTTGAGTAATGGTTCTCCAGATATTTGAAATCTAAATTATCAATACCTGTCATCATTACATAAATTAAACATATTGACTAAATAGTTATTAGACTGAAATCATAAATTTAAAATGTTTTTGTGCCAAAAGTTCAAGCTAAAAAAAATAAAAAGTTCCCAAATTTATAATTTTAGTCAAATAACTAGGTATCTACTCAACATGTTTATTTTTTGTCAATAATGACATGTATTGAATATTTTCATCCTAAATATCTTGAGAGCGGTTGTTCGTAATGATTTATACCAAGAGACCTTTTTTACGTAAAAACGTCGTAAATGTATATTTTTTACCCAGGAGTTTTATGCAGGTACGGTTGAAAAGTTATTAGTCTTCAAACCAGTTAAAAAATATGTAGATGGCGCCGTCTACAAGTAAGAGTTATATTGGTATCAAAATCAAATATCTCATGTCAAAAAAGTCCCAGATACCAATTTTCATCCAAATATTGATGTTACTCCAATTTTTCATAGTCATGGTCTATGAAAAATTTGAGTGAAAATCTCAAAAAGAAAAGTTAATACGGAACTTGTTCAAAGATCATCCCCCTTTACAATAATAAAAAAAAAACTTACTTATAACACTTATCCACAGTATTAACAAAAATTATCGTTTTGCCTCTAATTAAATGAAGTTTTAATAAAGCATACAAAATAGTAGCCTTATCTAGCTCTTCAGCTTTTAAATGGTAATGAGTTAATTGACTTGCCGGTGCTAATTCTGGCTCTTCCAGTTTTAATGTGACAGGATTGTGAAGTATCCTTTCTTTCAGGGACTTTACATCGTTACTTAGAGTTGCTGAAGCTAAGATGGCTTGGTATATATTAGGTAGATATCTAGAATAATATTAATGTAGTGTTGTTACTCTATAGAAATACATCTCTTATTACTCTAATAGTTGTTTGACTTCATCTTCATATCCAAATGAGAATACCAAATCAGCTTCATCAATAACAATAATTTCCAGAGATTTCTTTAAATTTAAATTTCCTGCTTTTAAATGCTGTAAAGCTTTAGAAGGAGTGGTTATAACAATATCAGGTTTCTCTACCAAAAGTGGTTTTTGTACAGTTAAATCTTCTTGTTGAGCAATATCTATACATTTAACCTAAAATAATATAAACAAGTTTAATTTGCCTATAATTGTTTAACAGTGTTTATACATAAAAGTTTAAATTAATATTCTCGTACAATTAATATTTATCTTAAATCTGACAAACCATAGTTAACTAGGTATAGTCCTACCTACTATTTTCCAAGCTTAACACAATCTTATGTATTTAAGAAATTATTTATTCTCTCACCTCTCTGGAACATTTAATAGTTAAATCCTTGACTACTTTGCAAATTTGGTGACATAATTCTTTACTAGGAGCCAATATTACAGCTTTTATTTCTTGGTGCATAGAGGTTTGCTTAAAGTTTAAGATTTTCTGAATAACTGGGATCGCAAATGCTGCCGTTTTACCCGATCCTGTTCTTGCTTTTACTAAAACATCTTTTCCTTCCAGTAAAAGTGGTATTGCCTTCTCTTGTATTAAGGTTGGAGTTTGCCACCCTAATTTTGCAACTGCCTAAAAATAATCCAATTCACATTTCTTAAATACCCAAAAAAGATTAATATAATTATTACTTTTAATATTCGATCATCTAACTCCATCTCATGGAACATTAAAGGTTTTTCTTCCTCGGCCATTGTAAAATATAGCTAGTACAGTTATAAATTATATTTATAATAACTTAGAAATGAATAATGTAACTTTTAAATATGTACAAATTAGTTTTGAAATGTTTTTTCTTTAAAATCACAATTTGTTTCACACATTCCAAACAGTAAAATTAACAAAGGTTAGGTCACAAAACGTTTAGGTTGTATTTCTTCCGCTTAAAAAGTTTCAGTTAGTCTATGGTATTCTGTGGTTTAAGTTGATTTAACGCCAGCTTTATCGGAAGGATAGCCCTGACACCTCTGGCCATTAAACCAATATAATATTCAACTTCATATGGCATCTTTTATATATGACTATTAGTAATGGGCAAGCAAGAGATCTTTTAAGATTTTTGTTCAAGGATGGGCATTACAAGACTTTTTTACGTATCGATGTTAAGATTGTAAAGTACCTATAAAAATTAAAAAAAAAAAGATTTTTGTGACCTACCTACCTACATTTAAAATTTTAATTTGTGATTTTAATATTTGAGAAATAATACAAAAAGTAATAATTTATTTCTACACAAACTAAAGTACTCTTAGGTAAAGGTGTGGATCCGGTGGCTGACCTTGAAGCCTATATTTGCTGCATTTGATCATCGATACTACGCAAGCGCACATCGTCGATGTTGCCAAATTGCAGTTTATTTTCGAATTATTTGCAGTTGAAAATTTTTTTTGGAGTGTTAATCAATAATAATAGAAATTCTATAATTAATTTTATAATTTCAGATTTATCTTGATATCCAAAATTAAGGTAAGAAGGATAATGAAGATTGTGAAATGAAAGTATTATGAATATATAAAATTGTAATAATAAATAACATTTATTTATATATTTACATTAGAATTAAACATTATCATGTACGGATTTTTTCTTAATGGTTTTAAACTTATTAAAATTGTTTTATTTATTTCAAGTTATTTAATTTCTAGTTATTTACAGGCAACAATAGTTTTGATTATATGTATTGATGTTTTGAAATAGTACCATGACGAGTTCTTATAGAACAATACACATCAATGGGAGATAGAGGTAACATCTTACTTATAATGTTACTAATATAATATACTTTGATTATAATGTTTGTATCATAATTTCTTAAAAATATGAAGTTAGTGGATTAATAGCAATTTTAGACATATATTTTATCGAAGAGTGTGTTGATAAGACTAAAATAAGCTTTATGTTTTGTCTTTTTCTCTTTAGAAGGGAGACGGTTTGTGTCGTAGAATACATTACAGTATTTAATATCGTATACTTTGATATTCTTTTCTTAATTTACTGTAATTTCTTGTTTCCTATAATGCCAAATCTTGACAATATGGTGAAGGTTGAGTTTTGATCTCTTTGTTATGTCTTAATCTTAATACTATATTATGCTCTGTCTGGAAAATAAATGTTAAAATATCTTAATTTTGCATATCCTATTCCATCCTTCCATTAGGAAAAATATGGTTTATAAATCATATTATGCTAAGAAAATCACATAAATTAGGTGTAAGAATAGAGAAATCTTAAGGTAGCAGAAAAATTAATGCAATATATAAGCAGAATTAAACAAGGTAACTGTAAATGTTGCTGAAGCTGATTCTACAATTTTAATTACGGAGACTAAAAGGTCTTTTAAGGCCTCCGTAGTTTTGATGGAATGTTAAAAAAACCTATTATGAACATGACATGGAGCTACAGCATTTAAAAATTTAAAAAAAAAAAAAAACTTGGACACATACCCTGAATTTTTAATAAAGCACTTTTTAAACGTAGCATAATAATCTAGAGCAATTAGATTAATTATAGGAATCTAGAATTTTATTTCTATTTAATTTTATTGACTATGAAAATACATATAAGCGTTCATGTTTCACATGTTGTGCGAAATATTAAAATAATAATATAAATGATATACCGCGCGTACTATGATGAAGATCGCTGCCATTTTATATGGGAAATGTCCTCAATCGTCATTTCCCAGCCAACTGGACGCCGTTTTTTCGATCATACTGTATATATTGACAAAAAACACTGAAAAGCACATATTTGTTTTCTACTGAAAATAATTCCAAAATAACTTGCAATCTGGCAACATCGAAGATGTGCGCATGCGTAGTGTCTGTGACTATATGCAGCAAAAACTCGTTTCAAGGTCAGCCACCGGATCCACACCATTACCGTACTCTTATTTTTACAGGAAGTAAAAATAAAACTGTTTTCTACAGAATTGCAAAATAAAATTACACTAAATCACCACAATACACCAAAACACTTTTACTTTTACACTGGACGCGCGTTTCGCTAACCATGTTAGCATCATCAGCTGTAATTTTATTTTGCTGTGTAACACCAAAGGTTCCAACCCTCAACTGTATTATTATAATTCTACAGAATTGTTAGATATATACATATGTTCGCGCAGTTTTTTCATATTCACAAAATCACTTCTATTTTCTTTGCCTGCTACGAATTTCCAGCCCTTTTAAATTAAAATTGTAGACCACTTCCATACTAACAATAAGTGCCAGTTCAAAAAATTTTAGATAAATTTATGGAAGAAAAATACCAATTTCAAGTAAAAATCTTTGCAAAAAATATAGTGTCATAAGGCTAGGTATTGAAGATAATTAATGCTGAAGCAAACAGCAATTTAATTAGAGCTTATGTATTTATTGATTCTTATATAACAATAATAATTGTCCAAGAACTACAATTATGACTGCTGTTGAAGAATTTCAATTTGTGCTGCAGTTACAGTTTTCATACCCTCCTGAACAACACTTAGATTTGTTTTCCAGGAAAATAAAAGATCTCTTAATTGTTGCCACTGGGCACGTCCAAATGTTCTATGCATTGTGCTCGAAACGAAAACTTTTTTAGCTAGTTGATCCATACGAGCACTTACTAATTTTGTTTTCAACACTAAAATTTATATACAGTTAAAAATGAAAAGGGATTTGTTTAGTTAATATACCTTCAATAATAAATGGCTCCACTTCTTCTTTTTTGATTTGTAATTCATGTGCAATAACATCAAATGAAATTTCGGGATTACTTTCTGCCAACTGCATAAAACTAAGTAGACGCATCTTGCGCATGTTTTGATCATGATCTAAACCCTGATTAGTAACAAATTCTTTGTGTTCTTTGTAAAAAGTAAGATAGGCAGTTAAATTTTCACTGACAAATATATTTAACAAATCGTGAATAAGTTGACCCTTCAGTATATGCACAGGTTTTAGAGACAATAGTGGATCTAGTAGGAAGGTGTTTGGATCAGCTATTGCTGTAGTTATGCATCGAATAGCATCCTCCCGTGCATGAGAAGCAGTTTTATCTGTGTAAGTTCCAAGGAGTTCAATCATTACTTTAGCTGCTTGTTCACTAAAAAATTAGAACAATTAATGTTTCTTTCAATTAACTACTCGCTTTTACCTTTGATTGCTCTTTAGGAGAACTTCATGTAAAAGTCTATATAGTTTTTGCAGTTCTTCATTTGACAAAGGACAATGACTAAATTGTTGCTTTAAATGATCGACGTTCTGGAAAATTGCTTTTATCTGGTCTGTCTGCTTAGCAATTTGTAACAAGTGATAATAAACAGGATATCTCATTGGCGATCTCTCATCCAAAGATTGGTATAACAGCCACAAACTAAAATCAAAATTGGTTCTAGATATTTATTATTATTCTCCAAGACTGAAAAATTGATATTTTTTTGTATATTTAACCCATTAAAGCTTGACAACACAAGTTAATTTTGATTTATTTATATACAGTATAAGTACACAAACAAGAAATTTCAATACATTTTACAGCAGATAAATTAAAAAAATAAAAAACAACAATACTACATATAAATTAAAACCTCTAGATGACTAAAGCATAGAACTCTTGTAGTGAGTAATAAGCCTTGACCATCAAGTAGTTCTTCACTGTCACTGTAAAATGCTTTATTGGGAGTTCTTTGATGGAAAATGGGTTCTACACTCAAGATGAGACATTGTCTTTCAATATCAATCACTAAAATTTCTTTTAACGTGTGTGTGCTTTATGGAAAACTTGTTAATGCATAATTTTTTACATATTGATTTTATATCTTACAACTTAAGATGACAATTATAAATCTAATGGTAAATAAGATGAATAATCAATTTGAATGTAAAAATTCGAATAATATTATTGATAATATATTTTATGTTATGACACTTACGCTTTTAAACAAACCTGTCCCAGTTTTTGTCCCTGCCCTTTGGTCAATTTTTCACAAAATGCTAAAATTATATTTTCAGCTCTTTCTGTTGGAACCTAAAATAAAACAGATATTTGAAGGAGCTCTTATTTCTATCTAGTTTAAATGCTTACAAGAACCATTATGGAAACTATGTCATTAAGAACCATTTCAACTTCGGCTTCGTTTCCTTCCTTGAAACAAGTGTCACATACGCCAATTATTTTATGAAGATCATCTTCTATACCTTTCGGTGACCGTTCTTCAGATATTTCAGCGCCTAAACTTTTTAAGTAGGCTCGTAATTCTTGGGCCTAAAGAAAACAAAACTGATTAATTACATTTGAGACTACAGATAACCTAAATGGTGTCATATGGAATAAAAATTTAATTTGAGGAAGCGATTACCTGATCTTCTATAGCGATATCTATAAATACCGGTGGCACCTGCATTTTGTAGTATTAAAAACTTAACATATATTTAAAATAAACTTGTTAAGCTGTTAAACTGTTTTTTGAGAAGGAAAATTTACGAAAAATGCTTTCCTCAATCTGTCAAAAATGTTGACTTTTCTTGTTTGTCAAAAAAATAATAGTGTGACGTTACGCAGAATGACGTCAGTAAGAGACCTACTTTTCGGGGATGTTGTAAAATAGTCTACTCTAGATCATATATAATAGTTTTTTATGTTTCGTAATAAACCATATCTGGAAAAATAAAAGGTAAAAGTTAATGTACCTACTTCACTTTCCTTTTTTTTTAGGAATAAGTAAACCCCATGAAATATGTTGAAAAACCCGTTGAAAACTATAAAAATTCCACAGATTAGCGCCATTGTTTAGGACTACAATAAAGAATTTAATTCTTAATCTAAGAATAAAGGTTCAATTTTTTTATACAAAAGCAGACCCAAAGGGCAGACCTGTTCATGCGTTGTTGTGGCTAAGGTCAGTGATGGGCAAATACCGGGTATATTGAAATTTGGATAAATACCCAAGTTTTTGCATCCAGTATAAACCCAAAGGGCCAATTTAAATGTATATTGAATTTGGGTAAATACCATTATACCCGGTATAAAAAACCTGGGGTTGATGGTAGAAGGGTGAAAATTATTAGGGTTGTATGTATTTTTAATGCCATGTCACGAAAACATAAAAATATTGTTCAAAATTTTTTTAAAAAATTAGGGTGGGCCACCCTTATCACTTAAAGCTATGGATAACAACCGTTCTCAGACCTACTCTTTGAGACCTACTGAATATACATGAGGGGCTGAGTTCCAAAACTAGTTTTATCCAAATTCGTTAATTTTCAATAATCGCAAAAAACGAACAGCAACTTAATTAGTCTTGGAACAAATGCACGACTTTAACATGTAAATTATAAGGATAGAATGAGTTATGCCACAAAAATGATGCTGAATATTGTGCAGGGCTGTCAATACTATTGCCAAAAATGGATAAGACGAGTTTTGAAACTCAACCCCTCACATATATTTCATCAAAATCTGTCTAGCCGTTTCGGAGGAGCATGGTAACAAAAAATTTAAAAAAAACTATTAAAAAATAGAGGTTGATGGTAGAAGGGTGATAATTTAGGGTTGTATGTATTTTTTAATGCCTAATCATAAAAAAATTTTAAAAAAATTGTGTCCACAATAGGGCTGCACCGAGTACCGAGTAGTTCGGTGCTCGGCCAGAATTTTAACCGAGTAATATGTACTCGGTGCTCGGCCTTGTCGTGATCCTGGATTGGACCACCGTCGTCACCAATCTTGTAGTCGCTGCCACCAAATGTTGTAGTTCTCTATTTGACTCGTATCACCACTTGTTGGGAATGTTATTCTTTATTTTTTTTATAATTAAATTCTTACTAAGTTGTTATTACTTTTTATTTTTAAACTTTTAATACAAAATATAAATTTAGCAAAGTAATAATAATACTTATAAGTAATAACACAAACACAGTGAAATAATAATTTAATACTTATAACGTCTATGAAAAGGTCAGCACTGTCCTCATTTTAGGTTCGATTGTTTGAATTATTTTTCACTTTTAAATTAGTTACACATATAAGATTTGCTTAAAACAAAATCAACGTCGCCACCGCACCTTAAAAGAATCAATTCAGAATCCAGCACATTAGAACAATGCCCTCTATAAAAGATCAGCCTACGGGCGGACTTTTGTTTACTTCATCAGCTGTACATACTTAGATATTGGGTTAGATTCTGTATTCATATTTTGTTTGATTAATATTTGTAATATTATCTGATATTATTAGAAAGTGCCCCTCCTAATAGCTAGAAGGTCAATGGGGGACAGCGCTTGAGAAAAACGCGAGATTCCTACGCATCCTAATTGTTAAACTTAATGTATTATTTTATATTTAAATAATCACCCATATGATTAAACAATAGTAGTTTTGAAGTCATACTACATACGCTTTCGTAGTGGGTATAAAGTAGAATAATACCAAACAATACAAATATTTGTGGATTGAAGTTAAAAGTAATAAAAAGTACATATGGATACATAACCTTATGGTAAAACGGAAAACGAAAAAAAGTGCCCGCCAAATTAGATTCCTTGTGGTGAAACAAATAAAGAAAAGTCAAGAGGAAATGTGGATATATATTAATTAGAACCACTTTCCTTTGATGGAAATGAATAAAAGAAAATTTTCGAAAGATTTAAGCAAAACTTTTGAAATTTATCTAACTTACATTCTAGCTTAACTAACATTTTTTTTATAACTATTGCAGATTTAAAAATGTATCAAATGCGGAAATTATTTTTCTTTTTAATAGTCGCTTGTGATGGGTACATAAATTAATGGGTCTGCTTGCCCAGAGGGGGCGCCTGTAAATTAACATTCTCTTCTTTCGGAGTTTTCATAGTTACCTACATTTCCAGAGTTTTGGCTAATATTACGATTATATTAGGCAACATATCTATCACTATTTCTAGAAGATGGTTCCAGCCAGACAGATTAACTCTAATGCATAAGTTTGGAATAATTCCGCAACAGGCTGTCTTGTTAGTGTTATTTTGTATGCTACAATTTATGAATAATAAAATAATAGCAAGAAGAGCTAAGATAAAGTGAAAAAAGATGACAAGATGAAGATTGCTTTGTTACTAAATCTGATGTGGGTGAAGAAGGGATAGAAGTTCACAACACATTAAACTAACAGAGTTACAAAGAGCTAATTTTTCAAACAGTACTAAACTGAATGGAGAATTATATGACCCCGAAAAAGAACGTAGTGTATGAAAGGTTTCTATTTACTCAAGGAAACAAGAAGATGAAGAAAATCATTCTGACCATTTCTATACTGAATTGAAAAAGTTATCAAAAACTGTGAGTTTGAGCAGTCGATGATTCAATGATCAGACATAGGATTGTCTTGGGTATCACTACGAGCAAGTCCAAGAAAAACATACTTAACGTAGACAAGTTAGATTCAATAAGGCCATTGAGAGTGTCGAGCATGTGAAATCGCAAAATCCCAAATAAAACTGTGTACAAGGTGCTGAAGCTAAAGTTGAAGTTGCTTTAAAACAAAGCGAAGACACTACAAAGGCATGGCAATACTGAAGAAAAAACATTAATAAGCTGTAAAAGCTGCGGAAAGAAACATGAAAGAAGATTAACAGCATTTGGGCAGAAAAGTGCAAACAAATGAAGGCGCTATGGACATTTTTAGAGAAGATGTGTGAAGCACAATGATGGTGAAGGAGTATTATAAGTAAAGAAGAAGAAGAAGATCCAAGAACTCTTAGTATCTGTTGTGACAGTGAGTGAAGTGAAAAGTGAATCGGAGGGATAGAGACATTAGAATTTGGTAAGCAAAAATATTAGATTTAAGTTTGACACAGGGTCTCAGGTTAATTTGATTCCACAACATATACTTAAAAGTATTAAAGTCAAGATAAAACATGGCAAAAAAAAATTGACTTGAAACCTATGGAGGTTTTAAAATAACGCCTATAGGTGTATAAAATTAAAATACAAAATTATAGAGATAAGGGATTACACAATACAATTTGTTGTTGTAAAAGATATATCTATGCCTATTTTTTGTCTACAGTCATCCATGACAGGTGAATATTTTAATGAAGTTAATTTAGGGTTGATAAGAACAGTTTTTATTAATAATAACAAAGATTTATTTATAGGAATAGGGAAATTTAAAGAACAATGTAAATTAAAAAGTAAAAAACAATGCCAGTCTCTGTGGTTAAGCCACCCAGAAGGGTTCCTTTATCAGGAAAAGAGGCGTTGAAAAACACCTGTATGCTTTAGTTAACAAAGGCATTATTGCTAAACACCAAGGACCGACTGAATGGCTTAGTAACCTATTATTATTGAAAAAAAGTGACAAAACATTAAGGGTATGTTTAGATACCCAAGAATCTTAACGGCATTAGAAAGAGATATTTTGAGATACCAACCTTCTAAGAAATTTGTGTTATTTTTAAAATAAAAAGCTACTTTTTGTTGTACTAGATTTTAAAGATGGGTTTTATCAGGTAGAGTTAGATTTAGAGTCAAGTAGACTGTGTGCTTTTTTCTTTGACTTTGGAATTAATAATTATATAGCTTTCGAGATGTGTTTTAGTATTCATAATAATTGGTACAATAATAGAATTGACATTTGTTGTGCTAACTATTCTACTCAATGCATCAGCATTTGTAGTGAATCTTTCAAGCTATATAATTATTTCATAGATCATATTCTTCAAGTTTTATTCTAAAAACGCGTCAAACGAGAACCAGGGTCTCTTTGATATTAAATTATATAGAGTAGGTTTGTGCATCTGTAACAATTTTAAATCTTGTGCCAAAAATATATGGACGGAAATGTTTTGCTGCCTGTGACGATTGCAGTTAGCTCTTTTCTGAAGTTGAATAATTTTGTTCTGCTTTTATTTAGAGTTCTACTAGCAAACGCTATTGACGATCGATCAGTGATTGAACCTTACCCTGCGATAAAGAGGCCTGCTCCTACTACTTGAAATTACTCGCATCTGTTGTTATAATAAATTTCTTTTGGTAAAATCTGGGTATTGGAGAACAGGTGGAAAAGTTATACTATCTTTTAGAATTTGGAAAAGAAATTTTTCGCATTTTATACCCCAATTAAAAACAGAATCTTTTTTTAATAATTCCGGTTAAAGGTTTAGTAATTTGAGCGAAGTGCAGATAAATTTCCTATAATATCCTACAACCATTTGGGTTAAATTGTGCCCCAGAATATTTTCTCAAAACTTAAATCAAGAACACTTTGGTGATATTCGGGTTGTGATAAATTACTTTGATCTATATTCTTAAAGCATTTGATACGTCAGAAGAACATGATAAGATATTAACTAGAGTGTTAGAAATGAGCAAAGAAATATAATGTCAAATTTATTCAGTTATAAAATTCAGTATAAAGCTAAAGAGGTAAATTATTTAGGAAATATTTTTGACAGGGAGGGTATGAGGCCTGATAAAAAGAAATTAAAGCAATACAAAATTTGGAACAACCTAACTAATAAGAAAGAATTACAAAACTTTAGGGAATGAT